CCGGCCTCCGCGCCCCGCCCCGCCCCGCCCACGGCCCCGCACCACTTCACCCCGTGGTTTATTTACGATGGCCGGGTGGACGTTGGTGGTGGCGGAGCTCTAATTTCAGCGGTCGTCCCCAACAAAGTCACCCCTTTCACTGTCACCAGACAAAAACCATACCGACGGCGGTCTTCATGTTGTGCGCTGATGACTTCTGGTTATACCGGGCTGCGCGTGGTAGCCGGAACCAGCTTGACCTACACTCAGACTCCTTTTCACTGCCTCATGAAAGAGACAACTCGGACTTTTTCGAACTGCATTGTATACTGCGGTAGTGCGCACTTGCCACAAACCTCACGCCTGATTCATCATTATACTCCACGCGGCTTCCCGTGGACCCTTTCAGGTAAAGCTAGGAAAATGTCCCCACACCCCAATTTTTGTCTATTTTATTGTTTATTTTACTTCCCTTCTCTCACGCTTGCGGCTCCCGGCCGTCATTGCCATCATATTGCGCCTTATTCGGCTCTGAAGCTAACCTTCTGGTGATGCCTCCTCCTGGACCTACGGCTGGGTCCCTTTTCGGCCGTCCTGGGCTTCGGCCCTCCCGCCTTTGGCCCACTTGCCTTTGGCCCGCTTTTGGGCCCGGCCGGGGTCCTCGGCTGGCTGGCTGGCGCTGGCTGGCTGGCCCAGTGGGCCCACCGCACCGTGTAGCCTAGTGGCCCGAATTTGCGAGCAGCAGAGCCGCGCCGCGGGCAGGCGGGCGTGCCCCGACTCGCGCCCGGGCCTGGCGTGGCCCCTTACCGGAGGGATTTTGGAGGCCTAAAGAGTTCAAAGAGGAGTGAAGTCTCCCCAGACCCTTACAGAGTCACCCCCCGGCTGGCCCCTATGCCGCTAGCCCATGGCTAGCCGTTCCCCTACCAGCACCGAAACGATACGATACATAGGTGTGTACCGTTCCGATATCCTTCCAAAAAATGATTTTTCGCAGTGGGTTGACAAGGGATGCTGAACGCAGAGCGTAGGTCTCTTATGCCGCGAGCGAAGAGCAGGTGAGCACCCTCTCTGCCTCTCTGTCACAGGCTGCTTCGCCTGGAGCCGCCGCAAAAAACAAAATAGAAACTAAAAACTTGGCGGCGGCTAGTAATTGCACATGTGGCCCGGGCGGCGGGCGTAACGCGGCGCGTCCCGTGATAAAGAGCGGCGGGCCCGGCCCAAGTCGGTGATTAATGGGGAAGAGAAAGTGGTGCAACTTGAAAGGGAACGTGGCGGGCAGAGCGGGCAGAGCGGGCAGAGCTAGCCGGGCGGCCGGCTCCCCCAGCAGCGGCGAGCTAGGAGCTGCTGGACGCTCTTCTGTCGCCCTGGACCAGAAGGGGGTCCAGCGGGAGCAGCGGCATCACGGCGAGCTGGCAGTAGCGGGCTGGCCCCCTTAAGCCAGTTAGACTTAACCGCATGCACGCGTGCGCGCGGGTTGCCTACTCGCCAGGAGGCCCATAAGGCACCGTGGTGATCGTAGGAAACCCCTCCTACAAGTGATGTGGTTCGGTGTAGCTTTGATAGCACGGGGCATCAGGCACCCGGCACCCCCAATTTAGAGGGTAGCCTGCCTAGCGCTGTCAGTAGCTTTGATAGCACGGGGCATCAGGCACCCGGCACCCCCAATTTAGAGGGTAGGGGAAGGTGAACCTCTTCACTCTCTCTCTGTAAGGCCTTTAAGGGTGAGGGATTTGTGCTACATTTTGTGAAGAATAATACCCGTCAGCCCCTGTTGGTCCGGAACTTTTTCTTCGACATTAGTTCAGTATAAGTGGAGCGGTCGCGGTACAAACGGCCAGTAACTTGTCTACAAGTTTATAACATTCTAAAAAATAAGTAATGAAGCGAGAGGTGATTATAATGGTCGGCTCTTTTAAAGGCGGCTGGCGCCACAAGACAGAGAGACGGAAAGGCACGTTGCGCCTCGTCAGGAAATGGAGCAGTGTCGCTGGCGAACTAGACCATCACCTCAGCCACGGCTCTTGGGGCTGGGGCTGGCGCTTGCGGCGGGAGGGGGCTCCCTTCTCCCCTTTCCCCTCCCAACCCTTCGGGACAACCAGAACCACGTGACTTGCAGTCGTCGCGAGGGACTGGGTGGGTCACGGCAGGCTGGCGGTCATGAGAAAGGAGAAAGCGGAGTGCACAGTTCCTCCGCTAGGCCGCACCACGCGTCGGCCGTACGGGCGCGTCTCACTGGGGCGGTCGACTTGACTTGTTACTGGGAGGGTAATCCCTTTGTTGAGGCGGTTCAATAAATATAAAGTAAGCGTTGCAAAGAGGACCCAGGGATCTTATCTCCAACCTGATTGAAGCAGTAGACTACAGACTGCAAAAAAAGTCAAGTCCGACGTGCGCCCGTCTTGGGTCTGAGCGCCTGAAGCCTAGGCCACCCATTTGGCATCTCAAGTAAAATGGAACAGCATAATTTTAAAGCTGTCTGGAGAGGGGGTGGGGGTGGAGAGGTGGGGATAGACCAACTAAAACCCTTAGGAAGTGGTTCCTTGATTCCTCCAATACAGTTTGTAACCAGAGTGTCAGCTTTACAGTTTGTCTGAATGGGTCCTGAAGTATATTGGATAAGCCAGGTTCTTCAACTGAAAAATATATGTATATTATGACACAAACAAGAAGATACAAAAGTACACTTTAGATCAAGGCAGACCACATAAAAATTAAAATAATCCAGTCATCACTCAATTAATTTAAGCACCAAAAGAAGCTATGGTAGGCAACCATACTGCCTTTGTTTGAGAGGCTCTCTTTTCATAAATCTGGCGAAGTGTAACGGGATTTAGAACCTGCTCCATAATCCAACTCTGTTTTAAGTTTGATTTTGTTGATTCTGCTTTTATCACAGCTGGAATACTTTTTTGATTACCTGAAAAGAAGGAACCAAATTTTAGGAGTTTGACAATATTATAAATTCATAGTAACCACCTGCATTGCAACATTAATTAAGTTCTAAAAAATATAGACAGTTTACAAGATAGTTTACCAAACTGACAGAAAACCTTACCTGTAAACCAGACAGCATTTACATCCATATGTCCACATATAGTAGGTAAGAGAGAAGATGTGTCGCCGCTTAAAATGTTAATGACACCTGCAGGCAACTCTGACGCCTCTAACAACAGGGCTAGCTCTAAAGCAGGGAGGGAACACTCCATATCAACAACTGCTACACAGACATTTCCGAACGTAATTGCACAGCCAATCAGGGCTATCAAACTAGCCAGACAATAATGGGTAGATGCTTGGAGTGTGACGGCCACAACACCAAGAGGTTCCCTCATGACATGCACAGACATTCCATTAACCAACTGGCTGCTGGATTGAAGGGCTTTGTCACAAATTGCAGCGTAATGGAAGAGTAGCTTCACACATTCATCAACTTCTTGGCGACACTTGTCTTCTGATACAGTTTCATAAACTTTTAGGAGGGACCTAGAGCAAATAAAATATTTAATTAGGTATTATACTGATTTAAAAATATTAAAGTAAGGATAAATAAAGAGCATATACTTGGCAAAATGATTCTGTCTAGCAGTCAGTTTTTCAGCCAAATTATACATGATCTGAGCACGATTGTGCGAATCTCTCTTCCACCAGCTAGGCTGAGCTTTCAAAGCCGCCTCTACAGCATTTCTCACATCCTTCCTGTAACAAGTTATAAAATTGAAAACAGATGCAACGTCAATGCTTTGGGTAAATAATAAGAAATCTGTATCAGTACCTGTTAGCCTCTGGAACTACTGCAACAGTCTTTTTCTTTGAATCTAGTACTGTCTTGTAAGTGTTTGAACTTGGGCGCTTATGCCCTCCACCATAGAAAAATTTGCAAGTCTGGTCAATGTCAGGTTTCTCAGGATCAGCAGGCAACAAGCTAGTATGACCAATTACAGGTACACTAGGGCCATCTTCATTTGACAGTAAATGTGAGTCAGTTCTTGGTTGAAGATATTCAAGGAAGCCTAAAAAGCAGAATGGAGAGGGTCATTGTAAGAGAGAGTTTAAAGATAGTTTTAAAAAGAGCAAGTAATTTGTTAAGAGGACAACTTCCTCACCTTCTTTTCCTAGGAAACATCCACTTCCACTAGAATTTCGCCCAGTGATTGGAACACTGGCATCTGTGGAACCATAACTGTTTACCCATACTGTGCTGGCCTGGAAATATGAATCAAAATTTTAAAAATAGTTAAAAATAATAATTTCTGCTACATATTCAAGAAACTTTATGATGGCATTGTATGCTTTCTTGACTGTTATTAGAACAGGTCAAAAGTAAGATTAACCTTTAGGTTTAAAGATGACTCCCAGGAGAGTGCAGAGTTCTCCGTCCAAATAGATGCAGCTAATCCTCCACCATAATGATTGGCAATATTAACAGCTTCCTTGGCAGATCTTGCACTGACAACCTGCAGTGCAGGCCACTCGTCTGAATTCTGTAGTACAGGAGTTGCTAATGGAGCAGGCGGAAAAATTACAGTTGGAGTCCACATAGTAGAATTGGAGTCAATTGGTTGGATAACCTGTTGGAAAATTTTGGTAATACACAGTGAATATCTGCCTCTCAAATTAAATTAAAATAAAATAAAATAAAACAAAACAAAAAAGGAGAAAAGAATGTGAACTAGTTTTCAAAAGGAACTCACATCGTCATGAGAGACCAAAGATAAGACGTTCTGCAACCTTTCAGCAAGTGAACTGTCTGCCACTCTGTTGCTTACATCCACCATTTTTTCAAAAGTAGCTCCAGTTTTCAAAGATCTGACACGATCAGTCAGCTTTGCCTTTAATGATACGTACACTGATTCTTGAGCTATCAGCAGATTCAAAGACCATGGGTCCTAAAGGAAATTAAATTTTCTTTATGAAACAAATTGGCTACACTATATTATGAAACAAAACTCATAGAATCACAAACCTGGCCTTGGTTAATCCAGGAGGCATCAATGACACAATCTACAACACCATCCAAATCCGCAGAATCAAGTACAATCATTGGGACACAACTGTTCAACACTGCAAGAAGAAACAATATCAACTACAATGAGAGACGTGTTTAGCACAACATTTTGCTGTAATTTTCTTTTGGAATTTTCTTTTGTTTTTGGCCTTCACTTAATGTCTTGCAAAGAAAGACAAATCATTTCTCTTGCACAAAGACTATCACTTACAAGAAAGATGGTTTTGATGAGAAAGAGCAGAGCTACCAATAACACTTCGTCCAGTACTTTGAGAGCCAATAACAGCAATTTTATTCACACTGCTATTGGTTAATGCAGGACATTTTTCCTCATCTGTATGATCTTGAGGAACAACATTTATTACACCTGCTGGAACCCTAAAAGTTAAAGAACCAAAAATCAATAGCAGACAACAAGGCTACCCAGGGCTCCATCCCCCAAAATGGAAAAAGCAAAACAAGTATAAATTGCCTGAGTTGTCAAAAAGTCTGAGAAGATTTCTATATTATTTGATAGTGCATTTGAGATACATTACTAACCCAGACGAGGAGCAAAGCTGAGCAAGAAAAAATGCTGAAATGCAATTTGACACATGAGGTAAAAGAGTAACAGTATTTCCTGCTGCAAGAGCAGGTGCAATGAAAAGGGCGAGGCTTAACAAAGGTGAGCTGCTGGAAGTCACACCAATGACAGGCCCTAGGAAAAAGAGAAATACAATCAATAACATGCTACCTTCAAAAAGGATGTTTTAAAAAATAAAATTGAATTACCGGTACATACCACAGGGTTGCCATTCAGGTAGATCAGTCTCACTGATTTGCGCCCACCCAGCATAGTAATAAAATGTACGAATAAGTGCTGGAACATCGGATTCTCGAGCATTGCCAACTTGAACTCCTCGACTAAGAGCTTCTACTTCACAGAGAAGAGTTGTATGCTTTTGAAGTTGCCTTGCAATGCTGTAAAGAGAAGATGAATATTATAAGATTAATTCATTCACAGCGGCACATTAGACATCATGTGTTACGGCTTGTCTAAAACAAGTATTAAGGTATGTTGTAGTGAGTTGAAACATATTTTTGGATTTGTGGTTTGGATGAAACAGACTGCTCCTGAGCTGAATGTCTGTCCCAGGCATTCACCAATGTTAGACCAAACGCTGTAAACCGTAACACAAGCTGTTGACACCAGCGTATCTTATAACTTGACCTTATAACTTGGCTTACAGTTTACGACTTACTTTAGATGGGTGCTTACATTAAGATTTGAGCCCAATTGGGACTCTTCTACACATTAAAGAAGATAAGGCATAAAACATGTTTTTCTCACACTGACCTGTACAGAACACTGGCCCTTGCATGGCCTTCCAATGCTGACCAAGCTGGAAATGCTGAGTGTGATGCAGATAGGGCAATGGCATAATCCTCCTGTTTGTTTATAGAGAATTTGACAGAATAATTGACACCTGTTGACACCTCCAATGTGCTACCTGCACCTTGCTGAGATTTTGTAAGTTTTCCATTCACAAAAAGACCAAAATTTTCTTTATTTTCCGAAAGCCAAGCCTAAAAGAATAAAAAGGGCAGAAATTATTAATCATGTATCAATAAAATATGGTTGTTTGTATAGAATATATGTACAACTACTAACCTGTCCCGAACTCTTCCCTTCTTGAATAGTTCCATAATCCATAGTGTCAAATATATTTCTTATGTTGGTTGAAGAGGAAGGGTTTTTTGACATTTTCCCTTAAAATTTAGTATCTTGTTTTAAAATATTCCTTTTGAAAGACGGTGTCATGAAGGGCACAGGCAAACAACTCACAACAGCACCACAACACAAAGCACAAAGCCGCAAGCCGCTATCTTATCGTCTGCTGCCTGCTCAGGAGAGGGCATCGTAGCGCCATCTCTCGGACGAGCGACAGAAGCCGGAGCAGAGTGCGCTACTGGGCTCTAGGCGCGCGCGATTGAAACTGCGTTTGGAGTAGAGGTACTGAAGTAACCTTTCTCATGGAAATTAAGCTGAAATATAGCGGCGTGGTGCGGGGAACAAAGAGATAAAAGTTATGGGGGAAATATTTGAATGGATTGAAATCAAACGACACTACGGTATATCCAAGTCATAAGGACAATTTGGTAATTCTTCAGTAATTCCTTTCTCCGATAAAATAAACGGGGAAGAGCGTTCTCCTTCTGGTAGAGACAGTCTTGGGGCTTGGGGACTGACTAAAGTAAAAATCCGTCCCAATGTACCCCACCTTCCTTTGCGGCCGCTACGGCCAGCTGGAGAGCCACCTGCGAATAACCCCCTCTCCTCCAACTTCCCCTTCCACCGACCGGCGGACTCTACGGCGGAGCTGGGCGGAGCGGAGCGCCCGGAGCTTGGACTTGGAGCCATCAGTTTGGGAATCACACTGAGCAGCGCCTCGCACCGCGCCGGCTCCCTGGTTGCCCTCTCAACCTCCGCGACACCTCCGCGACGCGCTTCATGTCCCTCCGGCCAACTCCATCAGCCTCGGGCTGTCCGGCCCGCGTGCCTCGCGCCCCCGCCCGCTTTGACTGCTCACCCGTCGCCCGCCGCTCGGAGTTGGAGCCCCGTCTCGCGTGCCGTCTCGTCATCCTGCTGCCGCCGAGGCTCGGGCCGCGTATCGGACTCTGGTTACCGTCGCAGCCGTGTCCCCACTCGCCTCCCCCAGAAGCTTCATCGAAATGCAAGTCCATCAGGTTCAGTGTAAAGTGCAAAATGGCCACATAAGTGAAAGTGGAACAACGCGAAGCGTGCAATGGCCTTGAAGTGAAGTGAAGTGTAGTGTAGTGAAGTGCAGTGTTGTTGAAGTGCTCAAGTCTGAAGCTCTCTGCGTGGGTGCGGCACCCGCGCCGCTGTCATGTCGGCGCTGGACCTGGCGCCCCGCGACTCTGTGTGGCTGGCTGGCGATCGACTCACGGTAGGACCCGTCTGTCTCATCGGGGAATAGTCAAATAGGGCCTGATGGCAGCTCAGCGTTAGGTCTCCCCAACTTCATAGGTCCCTTTTCATTCTTCAAAACGATCACGAAACACAACTCAGGTACACAGCACACAGGAGGGAATGACCAGCAACTGTCGTATGAGACAAGCGTAAGGCGTTCTCGCGAGGCGATATCGGCGTGGACCGTTGTGGCGACGCGCATCGACGCGGCCTGTACGGAAGAATTAATGAACATTCGGATTAACGCGGATCAACGCGGCCTACGTAAACAATGTTAAAGATTCGGATTAACGCGGATTAATTAACGACTGCCGCTCTATTTACCTGGAAGAGATTCGAATGGTTGATGTTGCAATGCACCCCATGACAGGTCAGGAATCAGTCCCATTTTACTGAGTTACATTTTACAGTTGGCTTTGGTTTGCTTTTGTTTCTGATTGTTATCATTGTCGACAGGATGTCAAAGATGTCTATATTGGCCTGCCGGCGAGAACAAGATGCCACACGTCGGGCGCCGCTGGGCCACCCGGTGCTGGCCGCCCCCCTCCTGCTCGCCGCTCACCACCGCCCGTCTGCTCACCGCTCTCCACCGCCCGTCTGCTCACCGCTCACCACCGCCCGTCTTCTCGCCGCTCACCACTCACCACCCCCGGTCGCCACCCCTGCTCCTGTTTTCTCTGTTAGCAGGATTTTCAGGTTCCAGTCCAGCCGTCGATACGCCTCTCCGCGCACGCCGGCCCCCGCCGCAACTCAGCTGCCCAGCGGACAAGTACAACCGAACCTTCAAGCGGCTGGACGAACCCGAATGCTGATGCTGCAGCTCCTGGACGTGGTCGGCAGACTACAGGTGAGTCTCGTCAGCAACTCTTCTCCCCATTTGGCCCGCTTGTAGTGATCCCGGTCATTCCCTGGTGCCTCCCCCTACTGCCGGCTGGCGCACCGCTCCGGGCCTGCACCCGCCGGAGCCCCGCGGGTGTCCCCGTTAGGCCCCCCTCCCCCCTGCGGGACCGGCGCTGAGTCGCAGCTCCAGGGGCAGCGTGCCGGCCGGTTGTGGCGGGTAAATTGCGACCGGGGGTCCACGAGGGCAAAGTGATCGCTTACTCCAACTGTACGTAACAACCAGTCTAATACTTTGTCGTGTTTTGCTTCATGCCGCAGCCCTGGCTGTCGAGACAGCCCAGCCTGCACCTACCCGACCTACCCACCACTCCGCTCAACTCAGACGCAGCCCTGCTGGAGCATCACTACGTCACCACGGCCTCACCGCTAAGGGCCTCGCTCGCGCCTTCATCGTCTGCAAGTAAGTGGGAGCTGACCGCATCTTCTGTAGCTTCTACTTGGCTTGGTTGTTAATTTGCATAAATGGTTTCAATCTAATGCTACTATTGTACTTGTTGCAGAGCCCCCGTCCCGTGGGAGTCACACCTTCGTCTACAACTTTACCGCCCGCCCCGCCCAGGAAGTCTGCAGGACGCCCTTGCCGCCGACCCCGACCGTACCCGTTGGCCACCCCTCTGCTCGCCGCTGACCACCCCCGTTTGCCGCCCATGCTCTTGCGGGCACTCCGTTTGTTACCGCCCAGAATACGAAGGTAAGTTGTTGGTTTGCACTGGAGTTCTAGCAGGATTGATCAATGATTAGACTTGCTCCCCTGACGCCGGCTTCTCTCTTTGCAGGTTTCAGCCCGGCTGCGCCTCGCCCGCCGCCCCCCGCCGCCCCTCCCCGCGACTCAGCTGCCGAGCGGACGAGTGAAACTTGAAGGCCTCCAAGTGGGTGGGCGAACATGAATGCTGCAGCTCGTGCCTTGAAGTGACCCCGGTCATTCCCTGCTGGCGTCTCTTCTCGGTTGCTGGCTGGTGCACCGCCCTGGACCGCAGCTGGCTGTGGGTTTGTTTCATTGCCACCGTGGCATAGCGAGGGCGAAGTGATCGCTGCCCAACTGCACGTGTCTAATATACTTTGTTCTGTTTCGCTTTACGCCGCTGCCGCCTGGCCGTCGAGACGGCCCAATCACCGCCTTGAACTCCGCTCGACCGGCACGCAGCCCTGGACCACGGCCTCGCCGCTGAGGGCCTCGCTCGCGCCTTCATCGTCTACCTGGAAGTGAGAACTGACCTCTTTTTTTACAGCTTCCAGTTGGCTTGGGTATTGTGGAATAACAGTTTTAATCTATTTATGTATTTTGCAGAGTCGCCATGTGAGACACGCCTGCTCGTAGGTGTAGCCTCTGCTGCCACTGCAAGACCCTACGCCAGGACACGCCAGGACACGCCCCATCTTGTCGATTTGACCATGGCAGTCTGCTACAAGGCCGCTTCGCTGTCTTCCTAAAGTAAGGAGGACCGTTTTCTCCAGGCTGAGACATCTTCCATATGTTTGCAGAATCACGATTAATTTCTGCAAAATGCTTTGGTGTCAATAACAGCTACTTACCTTTTATCTTTTCAGGTTCTTGGTGACGTAGCGGGAAGCTGCTGGTCAAATGCATCAACAACTATAGAGTCTCTCAAATTGGAGAGAGTTCTCTGGAAGCCGCCACATCTCTCCACATTAAGGATGCATCTCTCCGAGGCTTATGACAGGTCAGTTATTTGAATATCTTCTATTTATTCCGATGTGAATATCTCACTACTTTATTCAATGTACTTTTTGCTGTTGTGTCTGCCACTCTCTATTCTGTATTCGTACACTAATTATCTCTGTGATATATTTATTCAAATGTAAGCCTTTTACGTAACTTTACTAAAACATACTACATATAAGTACAGAAACCTAGCGAAGTCTAATTTGAAATGAAAGTGTTACATCAATGTGGATTTTCGTTTTAAAACATACTACATTTTGGTATTTATGTTTCAGCCGACGTCGAACTGCTGCTCTGCAACCAAACGGAGTCATTCCATCTTCAAGTTTCAAGACAGCAAAATTCCATTTTCAAGTTTCAAGACAGCATAATTCACTTGTTATTCTTCTTTGTACAAATATGAGACTTAGGGGCACATGGTTACAGCGTTTATGTTATGTATCATTCCTGTCTTGCCTACTGGACTTTATTGACAATGACTTCTTCCTTCTGTCTTTGTATGTACAAGCATGAGCACTCACTTATTGGTGGTTTCTGTTGATATTCTAAATTTGGTGTTAGTTGCTTATTTGCATGTTTGGTTGTAAAGTTGTGTTCGGGGTAGTGTAAATTCTGTGTGGTTTATCTTTGCCTTGACTAAACGAGAAACTTGACACTTCTACCTCTTTCTCTTCATCAAAACTAGTATAAAATTATTCGGTTTACTTCAATTGTACTTCAGTTTCTTAATGTGTTTTAATGTAACTGAATCTTACAAGGATCTAGTTTTACGCTACTCCTAGGTTTGTGTGGACATCCCTGTCATACTGAGTCCTCAAACTTTCAGTGAAGTTTCTATGATACCTGTAAATTTCATCACTTTGCTGACCGGCCGACTTGATGTAAATCAATTTTTGCAATTTTCTCAGTTAAATATACTAAATAATACCTGCTATATTTATCTGTGGAACTTTATTTGAATTAATGCCCTTTGCTTGTGCTTTCCACTCATTGTCTGTGACTGCAGAGCAAGCTGTTGATTTAATAAATTTCTTGCTAGAGATCACTGTTTAGTGTTTACTTTCTACTTATTTCTCATCTGTGCTCACATTGGTAACTAGTTAGTACTTTGGCTGGAAATAAACAAATCTACAACATTAACTGCTACAGATACAGAGCAGGGTTGAAAAAATTCATAATCTTTTAATATGTATTTTATGCATTGAAATCCGTCAAGGTCCTGAGAGGTACGAGTCCCCTTCATATCAGCTCAAATTGTTTTCTGACCTATTCGTTTTCTTATGGGGAGTCACTCCTTGCCCTTAGCTCTGCTACGTCGTAGCCTAAGTATAAAGGAACTTGTTGGATACCTACTAGGTGCTCGCTCTCACCGTCCAGTCAAAGGCGCGGGGTCGTCTCCAACGGAACGGCCACAAGAAGCGCCAGGTGGCGCGACTGCAGCGGGATGGTCTGTGACGAGCAAATAGTCTGTTTTTCTCAGATTCAGCAGATTCAGTCGGCAAACTTTCGGGAGCTGGGCGCCTGTGGGACTCCGGGTAGGCCAACCCGCGGTACACGCATGCACTACAAGCAAGATGTTGCCTACCCACCAGGCGCTAACCACGGACGCACTTCTTGGATGATCCTTCAGTGAAAAGTACTTATCAATCCGGGACTGGCGAATTATCCGCAGACCAGGGAATTTACTTGGGGGGGGGCATAGCTAGACGCTACATCAAGGAACACGCCACCCACTCGCTAGGCGCTACAGGATGGCCTGCATCCTGTCACGCCGTCATCTGGACGGCAACACGCCGAGGGTGTGCGACATCGACTTGGCCGCCGACGACCCGTGTGCCGTGTCCCGTGTCCTGGGTGCGGGGGCCGCTGGACGCGCTCTGACCTGGCGCACACGCGGCTGGCAGCGCGACAAGTCCGAGGCCGCGCGGCGCTGGAGACCCCGGATATCACGGTTCGGTGGTCACGTCTTGTTACGTTGCCCCTCCCCATCCCCAACTTACCCCGTTCTAGTAACTGTGATGTGATGTACATAATTAAGCAGTCCCCTTTTTTTTTTTCGACCCCGGCGCCTTATCCGTGTTTTTCGAGTCGTGAAGCTTTGACTTGTATGGAAGAATTGCGCTATCCGTGGGCCAACCCAGACTAACTATAGAGTTGAGGAAAGTAGAAAATGATCTAATCAGGTCAGAGGTCAGAAGTTGTTACTTATGGTGCGTTGATAACAGTAATACGATCTGCAGCTCGCGTTGCTATACTCCCAGGCGATAGGGAGCGCAGGGCCGCAGACAGGCGGTCCTCCGCTCTGCCGAGAGATGGCGTTCTGGAGCGCGCTGCAGGCTGGGGCAACTGTCGCCCTCTCCCCGCCCCCTCTACCCTTCCGGCTCCACTCTTCTGCCATTCACAGCCCCGCACGGCCGGTGCTGCTGCCTGCAGCCTACCCCCCCCCCCCTAACCCCTCCGTCAAATCCTTACTTTCTTTCCCATTTTCCCAGCTCTTTTGACCCTGCTGCAACGAGATTAGGGAACTTACCGGTAAGCTGACGCGATACGCTTTAAGTCGCCGCGTCCAAGTGCCCTCGCAACCACCACTACATATATTCGAACATGTGTTCATTTGGAAACATCCTTGTGTACACAATGATAACTCAACAGAGTGCATTGCACACTGCATATGCAGTGTGCATGGCATGCACACGTTTCCACTATTTCCTTTCAGATGGATAACTTTGGAAAGTGGATGACATATTGAGTTTCCTCGTGGAAAGAGCTTTCTAAAGAGCTACCTTGTGATAGAGTTTAAATCGACCTCTACCATACCTTGGTTAACGTTACCAAAATATCACAAAAATTGGTAGAGGTCAATTTGAACCCTATCCCTTGTTTTTCGAAGAAAACTATGTCAGTAAAAGACATCAGGGCGTATTTGATCCAACTGATTTTAAACTTTCAAAAAGGGTTGACGATAAGTTGCAAAATAGTGCTGAAAAGGTCTAAAAATTTTGCACGCAAGATATCATTAATATGGTTTGTCCTGAAAATTTAAGATTTTGCCATTGTAGTGTTACTAACACACCACCGACACACCACAAGGCGGGCCACAGCCGCCGGCACCACCCAGCTGCTTGTCGGGATGGCCTCCTGCAGGCAGGCGCTCTCAGTAACCATGAACCTTAAGTATTGCCAGCACGTGCGGCTCCGCAATACCATTCACGATTCATTCCGAGAAAGAGATAATGACTACGGAAATTAATTTATTGTCGGCTGCCGTTGTGACCCCAATCAATCAATCAATCAATCAATCAATCAATCAGGTAACGGATGTATTTACCCTCGTCGTTTACTCATCCCTCTTCATCCCTGGTCTTTCTTTGAGCCGTCTGATTGCAGTATTTAATTTGCATTTTTGTTGTTGGCTCGCGAGGTAACATATCATTCTCCCCCTTTATTACATCAGCTCAGACTGGAATGACTTCACGGTACGATACTAGGAAAGCTGCATGTTCATTTATCAATATTGTTATTGTGAATCCGCATTAATACATTAAATCGACCTAGAATTCAGTTTTTGATTTTGAAAAGTTCTTGCTTGCTACGCTCGCGAAATTTGCAGTTTCACATTTTCTCTCTCAATTAAAAAGAGACGCAACCCGTATCCCCTATTACAATAGGTTAGTCAGCAGTAGCACTGCAAGGTGGCGTCACTTTTAGCCTTCTGGCTGTCTCATTCGTCCAAACCTCCCCCCACCCACCTACTCACAAGTGTTCGTTAAGCAGTTGCACACTTGGTTTATCAGTATGTGTATGATTATACGTAGCACAACGATAATCGGACAATCTAGTACAATGTTGTATAAGATTTTATAAAAGTGTATACATACCTCTGTATAAACTTTTACCAAATATAATAAACATTTCTAAAATTTCATTTAAATTTTTATAACGGTGTATACTTTTTTATTTCATTTTATAAATTTTTATAAAATTTTGTAAAATTTGTATTTAAACCATTTTTACCCGGGTTTGTATCGACTTGGAATTGATCGACTAGCTCGAATGCAACGCTCTATCGTAAATTTATACAACATATTTTGTAAATTAAAATTGCAACGAAAATGTTTCCAAGGATTATTATACAGTGTTGCTTTCTTCACACGTTGGGCCTCTCTGGGTTTCCAGAGGCGTCGCTGTTGACGGCACTGGAGTACAGGACACGGCGCCGCGCTGCACAGGAGGGCCCCGGGCCGCCCCTCCGCCACGTCACCCGGGCAACCGCGCCGCCATGTCACCAGCTCGCCTGTGCTCCGCCGTGCTCGCTTGGTGGCGGGGGCGTTAAACACGGCACCTTATCCGTCGCGAGCAGCCGCCGGGCCTCGCCGAGTGGGGACGGCCCGGGGGAGGAGGCGGCTGGAGGCGGCAAGGGCGCGCTCCCCAGGCCCGCCCTGCCCTGCCCTGCCCTGCCCTGCCCTGCCCTGGTCGACCCGCGCGAGTGACCTTGCCTCTTCTGCTCCTCCCTCAAACCGCGACACCCAGCCTGGCCCCTCACCCTCCTCCGCTTGGGTCCCATACACACACAGCGGGGGCAAAGCGACCCGTCACTCGCAAAACTCGTTGATGTACGAGTTCCAAAACCTCTTATTGAAGCTGTAAAAAAAAACCTCGTCGAAAATAAATGCGTTGTCCCGAAATGAAGATTTATCGCGCGCTCCCCATGTTATTCGTATCAGAGCGTCCAGCGGGGAACACTCTCCTCCCGCCCGAGTACAATTCTCAACACGTGGCCAGAGTCGGCCGCGATCGTGTCTTAATAATTAGGTCCCCGCAGACGACGTTGCATATTTTTCATCCATTTTAATTTTTCCCCTGGCAGTAGGCTAAGGACGATGGGCGAGCGAGCTCTCTCCAGAGAGAGACAGAGAGAGAGACGGAGAAAGGCAGAGAGGAGGGAGAAGGGGAGAATGCTGCTTGCAGCAGTTGAAAATTCATCCACCAGACCAGAGTGACCCTCCCCCGGCAGCATAATTAGCCAGCCAATTAATTCAGAGCTCCTCGCAGCAGACCATCAAAAAATGGAGGAAGAATAAGGAAAGAGATAGCAGGGGAAAGGGGCGAAAGGGATTTGGGGTGGGAGGGTGATGGGTTGAGAGAGAAGAGAGGAGAATTTTTAAAAATGGAATATGAGGTGCCAAAGTTATTTCGCATCGCATTCTGCGGGCGCCCTGGTCGCGCGAGACTTCTGCTGCACAGTGAGGCTTATCTCATTGAGGGATCGAGAGTGCCCGGACCGACTAACCCAGCGAATTTGACTAACTCGACAACTTTCTCGTCAGCCGTGTCGAAGGCACTATGGCAGACAGCTGCGTCCCGCCGGAGTTGCTATGTACCCTGCCTCGACCTCGCCCGGCCTCGTCACGCTGTCCTGGTCGTGACCTGGCGGGCTGCACGAGCCTGCTGCGCGCTGCACTCCTGTCCATTTGCATTCATGCATGGACGACTCGCTGAGGCTTTAGCGCCGCCTTTGGGCCTCGCTTTTTGGCCCGAGGGACAGCATTAACAGCGCAACCTGCAAAAAGGGAAACGCGGTCAGGAAAACGAGGGGGTGGGGGGTGGGGAGGCTATGGAGACCGTGCTTCACCACCCCTCTTTCTCTTCCGCTCTTCCCCTCTTCCTCTCTTTGCCTCTCTCCCCTCTTTTGGTTGGGGGCTGCAAAGGCAGACCGAGGCCGCCTGGTCTCTATTCATTAGCGTTGACCCGCCTCACCTCTCGCTGCAGTTCGGATGGGCGACACCGCCCGGCTGCACCCGCCACCGTTCCGCCAACGGCTGTTGGCCTCGTGGGGCCCCAAGATCAACCAAACCTGCCAGGGGCTCATTAAGGCCCCCCGCACCAAGTTCCATACCCTCAATTTTTGGCCCCAATTTTCTAAAATTCTGCTAACCCCGGATTTGACACCGGGCCCCACCCCTCTACCGGCCTCTACCATCATCGCTAGTTCCCAGTCGTTCCCAGCAAAGCTAAGCCCGCTGGTTCGCTTTAATGATGGCGCAG